TTATTCCCTACTGTAGTTCGGTGAGGAAGATGAGCAGTCCTGGTGTCCTTCTCTCTGAAGGACTTGGTATTTTCTCAAGTTTGTTGTATTCAGGTTTATGTCCTCAGCTTTTTGTTTCGTTTGTTTTTGAGACAGGATCTCCTTGTAGTTCCAGCTGGCCTGAAACTTCCTATGTAGACCAGGCTGGCCTCAATCTCACAGAGATTTGCCTGCTTCTGCCTCTCCAGTGCTGAGAGTAAAGGCATGTGCTACCATGCCGGGCATCCTCAGCTTTCTGATGAGTTAAAAGTATTTTTCGGGGCTGGAGAGATGGTTCACCGGTTAAGAACACTGGTTCTTGCAGAAGACCCGGGTTCGAATCCCAGCACCCACATGGCAGCTAACAACTGTCCGTAACTCCAGTTCCAGGGGATCCAACAGCCTCTTCTGACCTCCGCAGGCATTGCATGACACGGGTGCATTTACCTACATGCAGGCAATACACGCATACACATAAAATAAAAATAAAAAAAGTTAAATTTTATAGACTTAAATACTGAAAAGCAACACCTTCATGTTGTAGGTACTCTAATCCTTTCAATAAATATTTACCAGTTCTCATTTTATCAGATGTATGTCTTAACCTTGCTATTGGTAATTAAATTTTTTCTTTTATGTGCATGAGTGTCTGCATGTACTCCATGTGTATGCCTAGTGTCCTTAGCAGCCAGAAGAGGTCATCAGATCATCCGGAACTGGAGTTACAGATGGTTGTGAGCCTCCATGTGGGTGCTGGGAACTGAACCCAGGGCTTCTGTAAGAACAATCAGTTCTCTTAAGCACTGAGCCGCCTCTCCTTCAGCCCTGATACTTTAAAAAAAAAAAAAATCCACAAATGGAAACATACTATATTTTCTTCACTTTTCCCCCACCTAACCTTTTTCTTTTCTTACTATATTGAGGCATTTTTCCAAGGTACATAATACATCTTAGTGTGGCTTTATCTTGATTCATTTAAACTCTTGGATGATGGACATTTAGATATGCGGGTTTTTTTTTCTAACAAGCAAAACAGTATGTATATGTGCCTTTGCCTCCATTCCCCACTGACCACTGCTATTTGTAGTATCAGGAAAGGGGAATATTTCATAAAGGCTTATAAAGAATATGAATGCTTGGTGATATTATAAAGTGGTGTTTTGCACAGTGTTGACTGTGTTCTCATAATCAGTTGGGTTCTGGAAGGATGGGATATTTCATTTTTATTATTTATTACTTTTACTTTGTGTATGATTGTATTGCCTGCATGCATGCAAGTACACCCATGTCATGCAATGCCTGCAGAGGTAAGAAGGTGTCAAGATTCCCTGGAACTGGAGTTACAGATGGTTGTTAGCCATCATGTGGGTGTTGGGAATTGAACCTGGGTCTTCTGTGAGAGCAGTCAGTGCTCTTAACCACTGCGCCATCTCTCCAGCCCCCAGGATGGGATATTTCAAAAGATGCATGAGATGCTAGAGTTACCCAGCAGGTGGAATCAGCATAAAGCTGGCTATGGACCTTAACAAAGTGCAGATAACATTAAAATACTAAAAACTGAGAGACACTTGGTTGTAGCTCTTCGGTTAAACTTAAAATGGAAACAAAATTGAGGAAAAACCCCAGACATGATGGCACACAGTTTTAATCCCAGTCCTTGGGAGACAGAGACAGGTAGATCTCTGTGAGATTGAGGCCAGTCTGGTCTACATAGTGAGTTCCAGGCCAGCTGGGGTTATATGAAGAGCCTGTCTCAAAAAGGCAAACAAAACAAAACAAAAAAACCCTAAAACCTCTTTACATTGGCGATATGAAAAAGTTACTGATGCCCAATTCTTCTGCTTCCTCAGTTCCTACCATAAAAATAGATAAGTATCTATTATTTGGAATTCTTCACACAACTATATAATTTGAATGATCCTGCTAGGCATGGCCAATTCAAGGAGTCTGCTAAGGAAACTGAAGACTCATGTGTGACATGTACAATGGGATTTCTACGATTTTTCTGTAAGGATATTTTTTGAGAACATTTTTCTAATTACCTAATTAAAGCACATTAAGTTGTTGAATGAATTTGAGAAATCAACTTTTTTATGAATAAGGCATCCTATGCATAAAAAGTACTTTACGTTCTTCCTAAAGTCTATGGTCAAAAGAAATCAAAATAAGGTTAGGGAGATGACTCAGGGAGTGAAGATTCTTGGTGCCAAGCCTGATGACCTTAGATCCCTGGGACCCACATGGTGGAAGAGGGAACAGACTCCAGGTTACCCTCTAACCTCCACACATGTACCGTGGCACATGTGGGCCCTGCCCCCATGATAAAGCATACAATAATGGTTTCATATTAAGTATATAATTTGCTCCTCACAGGGCCCCTTTCGGGGAGGTTTATTATATGTTGAGAACCAGGATCATGAGCTTTCTACTAACATATTCCTTAAGTCTCCCTATCTTGGTAATTGGTTGAACAATTTTGACATTAATCTCCTTTCCCTCCTTCCCCAACATTAAATTCTATAATCATAGCAGACTTGTTCACCTCCTAAATTTCTTGACAACCCAATTCTTTTTTTTGGGTGGGGGCGTTGAGACAGGGTCTTGCAATGCTGACCTGGAACTCACTTGAATTTGTGGCGATTTTGCCTCTGCCTCCTGAGTGCTGGAAATAGGCATGTGATCCATGCCTTGACTGTGAGAGAGAAAGAGAGAGACAGGCACAGAGATAGAGACAAGGTGTCAATCTAACCTGGCCTGGAACTCACATGTAGCCCAGTACTAGCCTCAAACTCAATGGCAATCCTGCCTTCAGCTTCTTGAGTGCTAGGATTATAGATGTCATGCCAGGCTTTAAAAAAATATATAGTCAGGTGGGCTGACCTGGAACTTACTGTGTACCCACTACCCACAGCTGACCTTTAACTCCTGATCTTCTTGCCTCCATCTCCCAAGTGCTGGGATTTCAGGCATGCACCAACACCGACCTGGCTTCCCATTTCTTTTGCCATCTCTCTGGTCCAAGCACACTACTCTTTCCTAGGTTATCCATTCTTGGCACTCTTAATCCATTCTCCAACTCTTTAGCTAACAAGAGCTCTTTAAAATGCTCATCCCAATCAATGCCTTTCCTTGCTGAAAATCCTCTAGTGCCTTCCCACTGCCCTTATAGTACACTCCTTCATATGGCCTTGGTGGTTCTACACCACTGGACTGTACAACCTCCTCAACTACTGGAACCAATGCTTTTCTCAGTCTTTTTTCCAGCCACACTTGTCCTGTTTCCAGGCTGAAAACTGGCCAAGCCTTTTCCATCCTCAGGTTCTTGGCGCAAATTCTTCGTTTGCCTTAGAATTCTTCCCTGCACACTTCCTCACCCTGTTTCCTCTAGCTTATAATGCCTTATTTTTTTAGAAGTAATTTTCAGCATTTCTTACTAAGGAAGAACTTCCCTATCTAAACTAGTGTGGGTTGAAGCCCCTTGTTACCCCCTCTTACTAGTCTGCATCCCTCCTTCTTAGCACTTACACAACTCTAATGATATGCTGTACTTCATTTAATTTTCTTTATTATTGGCATAGATATGTCCATATAGATAATATAAAATAAAAATAGTAAAAAAGGTGTAAAAGGCTACTTCTATTCTTTGTACCCCTGCTATCCAGTTCTCCTTAGCGGTAACTGCTTTTAGTATTTGAATATCCTTTCAGAAATATTTTCTGAGTAAATAAGCAATTATGTACATAATATTCCTCTTTATTTTTGCCTTTTTATTAATACAGATATATGCATTTTCAGCACTTTGTCGTTATCTGTTGTTAATGTATCTTGGCAATTCTTACCTCACCTTGTAAATAGTTGCCTCTTTTCTTACGCCACATAATATAAACTTACTATAATTTGACTTCTGTTGGGTATTTAGGTTGTTTCCAGGTTTTTGCTTTATTCCAAGTAATGTTGCATTGGATACCTTTGTATGTCAAGCCATTTCCAATTCTATACCTATAGAATAAATTCCTGTAATTGAAATAATTGAGCTAAAGTTTATATGCCTTTCCCAAAGTTTGGTAGTTACTGCTAAGCTGCTCATAATGAAAGTTTGACCAATTCACGTTTCCATTGGTGATGAAGAATGCATGTTTCCTTACAACTCTGCCAGCGAACATTTTTTGTTCCTTGTCAATGTAAGAGATGGAGCATAAATATTAATTTGGGACTACTCGAAATATTAATTTGCATGTTTTCCTTCCAGTTTTATTTTCATATATTTAAGAGCTACTTGTATTTCGTGAACTGTTCCTTCATAAACTGCATTTACTTATCTAACGTCTGACTGCTTTGCTACAACTCTAAGGTTACTCCTGGGATGCAGAGAATATGTGTTTTACCCATTGCATAGTTCCTGGCCCAAAGAAACGATTGGCTCAGGTCATATAGTAGTCAAGCTCAGAACTCATATTTGACTCCAAAGCCCACAAGTTTTCAGATAGAAAGACTTAGGAATTTAATTCACTTCTCAGGTGGGCCAGGTATTATTAACCCCCCTGGAGTGTGCTGAAACATTAAGACCAGGGTCAAAAGCGGTGTTTCTCCACAGTAGCTCCTGCAATGCTGATCACTTTACTTCCAGGCCGGAAAGCCAGGAACTTTGTTGGTTCTTCTTCTGAAGGCCAGGATTCTTAGAAAAATCTCCTTAAATACAAATCAAAACAAGGCTGCAGCTTATCATCCACTTGCAGCAGATTGCAAACGGCGTATACAATAGTGGGAGGCTGTCCAGGCGAGTACCTCAGATTAAATGAAAGCCAAGCCTGCCAAGGCGGGACCGTGGGGAGCCTGTAGGTACCACCCCCGGGAGGCTGGCAGAGAGCCCACGTCGAGGGTAGTCCAAGGAGCCAACAGGAAAGGACCACGAGCTGTTCGGTCTCTCACGCGCTCCTTCCGGCCCCTACTCGAATAGCTTCCGGAACTAAAGGGCATCCCAACCTCGACCTCCCACTCGTCCGTCTATTTCCTTCCGGGATCAGGTTCCTCCCTCTTCCTTCTCTCGTCTACGACTTCCGGTTCGGCTTGTCATCGGGGAAACGACCCGGCTTCCAGTCGCGCATCTGTGGGCGGAGTCAAGATGGCTGAGGAGAAACTGCCGTCGGTGAGCGCGGAGATCCTCTGAGGCCTTGGGTCACCTCAGGGCTGGGCTGGGGGCGGCGACGCGGTGGCGGGACACCCGAGTGCCCCGTGGAGGGCCGGCCGCGTGCCGTGGGTCCCGCTCGTCCGCCGGCTGAGCGTCCCGGCGAGTGCGAGCGCCAAGCAGCGCCAGGTCTGCGTTTGGACTCGGTACCCAGAAGAGGGCGTTTCCATTGGAAATGGCGTTTTTCCTTCGCCCTAGACTTTCCCTTCTCCTGGGGTTGGGGAAAGCCGCACTGCCGTTTGGCTAGACCGTTTTTGTAAATCCGTGGATTAGGGGTTTACGAGGACGAAGCCCGGAAGCACTGAGTGCCCTGCCCTCTCCATCCCTGGGTGACGGGCCCGCCTTTTCCCCGTTGGGATTTAAGTTTGGGAAAGTACTGTTTTGGAATTCAACTGGTTTAAGTTAGGTGGTCATTAAAGCCATACAACATCCGATGGGTGAATTCAGGATGACCCAGTAGTAATTTACTTTTTTGCGTCGCTGGGCATCAAACTTTTTCTCAGGTTAGGCTTATTTGTTCTGTTGGTTTGTGACCGTCTGGCCAAATTTACTTTCTGTAGTACAGGCTGGCCTCAGATTCGCGGAAATCGTGACTCAGTCCGGGATTGCAAGAGTGAACCATCACTCCCAGCTAATTTTTCTTTTTAAATTGACATATAATAATTGTATATTTATGAGGTACAGTGTGGTAGTTCAGTACATGTGTGTCCTGTATAATGGTCAAATCAAGGTAATTAACGTTCCCGTCTTAACATTTATTAATGGAACTCGAAATGTAGACCAGGCTGACCTTGATCTCACAGAACTCCACCTGCCTTTGCCTTCCGAATGCTGGGGCTAAAAGCGCGTGCCACCATGCCTGGCTTTTTTCTAGTTCTTTATAACATAGAAATTGTGAACAGTAGTCATCCTACTGAGCTGTTTTGGTACCTATTATCTAACTCTCCCCTATTTCCTCCTCCTAATCCTAGTCACCACTGTTCAACTCATAATTTCCATGAAATCAATTCTTAGTTTCCATCTAGAATAAAGAACATGCCCTACCCTTTTCTGCCTGGAGTATTTCATACAGCATATGAAGTCCACGATGGCGGACTTTTTTCTTTTTCATCACTAAATCTTATTTTACTGTGTACACATACATGCTACAATCTATCCATTTGTTGCTTATCCTTTGTTGATTCCCTACGTTGACACTGTGAATAGTGCTACAGTAAAGCTGGCTATACAAGTTCTTTGATAGACTGATTTTATTTTCTTTGGGTATGTAGTCTGCTGGCTTGTAGGGCTGTTTCCTTGCTTTGTTTTGAGATAGAGTCTCTCCACGTAGCCCAGGCTATCTTCAAAGTTACCATCCTCTTGTCTCAGCCCCCAAAGTGCTGGGATTATAGGCATATGCCATTAGGCAAGACTTGATTGGTCTAGTTTTAGTTTTTTAACAATAGTTGTTATTTTTGAATTTTATATGTTCATAATTGGCTCAAATTTTTGAAAAGTCTCAAATGTGAAACCTTGACCTTTGTTCTACTGTGGGATTCAAAGGCTGTTCTATAAGAATGATTTTTTTTTTTTTTTTTTTTTTTTTTTTGTCTTTTTGAAGCAGGGTCTCCCTGTAGCCCCAGCTGTCCTGGAACTCACTATGTATACCAGGCTGGCCTTGAACTCACAGAGATCCGCCTGCCTCTGCCTCCCAAGTGCTGGGACTACACTCATGCGCCACCACGCCCGGCTAAGAATGATTTTTTAACTTCAGAATATATTGTCTTTTGAAAAACATCCTGGAAAACTTAGACAATAAAATAGTTGCTACTAGCTGACTATTTTATAGCTTATCTTTTGTCTGTTAAGGAACAAGGCCATTGTTGTCTATTAGAGGGCCTTCTGTTTGCTTTATAATTTTTTTTTCCTTTTTGTCTTTTTGAGACAGGGTCTCCCTGTAGTCCCAGCTGACCTGAACTCACTATGTAGACCAGGCTGGCCTTGAACTCACAGAGATTTGCCTGCCTCTGCCTCCCGAGTGCTGGGACTAAAGGCATGTGTCACCATACCCAGCTGCTTTCTAATTTTTTCATTTGCAGAGTAATCACATTTGTCTAATCAGAAAACTCAGTATGGAGAAGGAAGCTTAACACACAAGCTGAAAATTAAAATGATTAATGTTACTAGGTCTAAGATATTGGAAACATAAAGGAAATGCTTAATGTACACAATCTTTAAGACATAAAGGGTAGTAGGGTACTGTTGTGATATATCTATAGAAGATAAGTATATAACAACCTGAACTGCATACTGAGTCATGGATTCTTCCCTTCCTCTGTCTTAAAGGTCAGATCTGAGGGTTATTTTCTGACACTTCTACTTGTGCTCTCTTCCTCCTCTCTCCAATTACTCCCATGGACTCTAAGTTTCTGGATCCCAGAAAGCGCTCTCTATCACAGATCAGACTGGTACTTTGTCTTGCATTCTACTAGCTGTAAGAAATGGCAAGATAGCATCTCCAGCTTGTCCTCCTTTTTTCCTGCCCAAATCAGAGGCTAAGGCAGAGGATAGCATTCGTATATCTTTTTCTTGTACTTCCTCCCTTAACATGGATAGTTTCTTTCTGGGTAGACAACTGAGCCTCAGTTGCATGTCTTACTGCCCACAGCAAAGGCCATGCAACAGCTGCCACAGCCCTTTTAAGGTCCTGTCCTGTGTATGTTACTTTCAGAGATGACAGTATATTCTGTAGTCCATCAGTGTTTGGAGGACATCTCCATATGCTCATGGTGGTCACCATTCATCAAGGAAGCATGCAACCCTATTCTACGTAGAGGAATGTGACCACCCTGGGACTTACTACTAAGGACACTCCACTCTCAGATGACTTGTTATTGGGAGCATGCAAGGGCCACTATGTTATGCCCTGCTATCTGTGGAAAGGTAGTCATATCAGGATTGAGATGGAGCAGATGCTCCATCTTCGGACAGATCAGTCTCTGTTACATGTTGCATTACCCATCACAAGGGCTTTGGCAGCCACTCTTCCCAACTCATCTTTGGTTTTATCGGACCCTGTTTGGCTACCAGTTGTGCAACTTCTCCTGTGGAGAACAAATATTTTTTTGCCCTAGGTAAGGCAGTAACAACAAACCAAAGAAACAGTTCCACCTGTCTAGCATGGTGAACCAATGAGTTTATGTGGGTGACTCAAAGGCAACTATATTAATGACAAACGCAACCTAGCATTGTTGATGACTCCCCAGACTTGATTCTTACTCTTTCAGTGAGATCTACCAGATAGTTTCCTCCAACACTGTGGGGAGGGGGCCTTGTAAATCTTGTAACTTTATGAACTTCCTAAACTTTTAAGTTTCTTTAACTCCTTAAGTCTTATGAGTCTCCCTCTTTCCTCCAGGAGAAATTGGCTACATAGCACCTTCCTTTAATGAGTACCAAAAAAATGTAAAATACAGACGTACATCTACATTTACATCTGAATGATTTAAGGGATCACCAGATGCTTTATTATTATTATTTCCCTCTGCCAGTTTATTCCACTGTTTTTAGTTTTGTAGTTCTGTTTTCAACACTACAAGCTATACGTTTTCTTTGTGTAGCAAGATAGTGACAGTACTTGCATATTTTTGCCAGGTCTTTGCTCATTTATGCCTTTATTCTGAGTTTGTTTTCTTGTTTCCTAATGTACATTCTTTAAGAGCTTAGTGATTATTATTATTATTATTGGTGCTGGGGATTGAACCCAACACCTCATGCATGCGAAGCATGTACTCTATCACTATACCATGCCACTCGCCAGCCCTTCAGAATTTCTGGAACCAGGACTGGAGCTCAGTGGTAGAGCACTTGCCTAGAGTGTGGTTTCTTAATGTCCTTGGAATACTTCCTTTTTGTTTTTGTTACTTTATTTTTTGAAACAAGGTCTGGCTATGTAGCCCTGGCTGGCCCCCCAAAAGGACTTCCTGCCTCGTGGCCTCAGTGTTGGGATTATAGGCATGCATCACCATGCCTGGCTTGGTACACTTCCTTATGATAAATCTAAGTGTGGATTTATTTTCATTTTACTTGGTCAGGATTAGTTATGTATCTAGAACCTAAAAATTATATTTTTTTCATTACTTATGGAAAGAGTTCATCTAATTTTTAAAAAATATTTTTTATTTATTATTTTATGTGTATGAGTGTATTGCCTGCATGTATGTGAGTGTACCTGTGTTGTGCAATGCTGCGGAGGTCAGAAGAGGGCTTGGATTCCCCTGGAACTGGAGTTAAGGATGGTTTATAGCTGCCATGTGGGTGCTGGGAATCAAACCTGGGTCCTCTGCAAGAGCAGTCAGTGCTCTTAACCACTGAGCCATCTCTCCAGCCCCATTATTATTTTATTTTATGTGTATGAGTGTATTGCCTGTATGTATGTAAGTGCACCCATGTCATGCAGTGCCCTCAGAGGTCAGAAGAGGGCATCAGATCCCCCGGAACTGGAGTTAAGGATGGTTGTTAGCTGCCATGTGGTTGCTGAACCTGAGTCCTTTGCAAGAACAGCCAGTGCTCTTAACTGCTGAGCCATCTCTCCAGCCCCTCCACTTTCATTAAGACAGGGTCTCTCACTGTACCTGGACTCATTGATTTGGCTAGGTTGGCTAGCTAATGAACTCTGGAGATCTTGTCTCTGCCCTCCCAGTGCTGGGGTTACAGATGCATACTACTGCACCCAGCTCTTACATGAATACTGGGGATCAGGTCCTCATGCTTGTGCTGCAAGCACTCTACCAACTGAGCCATTTACATTCCGTTTATCAAACAGTGATCATGGGCTGGTGGGATGACTCAGCAGGTAAAGGTAAAGCCTGATGACTGACCTGAGTTCAATCCCTGAACTCACATCGCAGAATGAGAGAAGGGACTCTTGAAGGTTGTCCTCTGACCACTTATTATGGCCTTTGTGCATGAGTGTGCACATATACACTCAAAGTATATCAATAAATGTAAAAAATTTCAGATAGTGATCACTTTTCTGGTTTGGCTGCTTAGAATTGTAGCATTAAGTGTAATACTGTTATTAAGCATTTAACAACTTAGTGCATCATTAATGTGCATTATGCATTATAATTTTTGTATATTATAAATGAACATATAATATTCTTTATACATTATGAGCAATGTGTATAGCCAAAGTATAATATGGTATTTGTTTTTGTCTTATTCAAATACTTTTTATACTCTGCATTTAATGGATTAGTTACATGATTGATGAGTTGCTGATTGGCTTGTTCTGTAAATATGCTTTTGTTAGTAGTGTGCATGGGGGTGCTTTAACATACATGACTTCTTTCATTTCAGAAAACTCAGGTTCCTGCATCTGCTGAATCTCAAAAAGCCAGGCAAAAAAAAGGTCTGTATTCAGTTTCATTGTGCGTGTGTACACATTCTTCTGTCTCATTCACTTTGCTTCTGTTATAACAGTGCTTTTTAAAGCATGTTAGGAAAAGCACTAATAATCCTACTCTTCTGCAATATCTAGTTTATTTTACAGAGATGTTAGGTTTTCTCGACCTGTAAATATACTTAAATGATGTCTGATTATTATGTAAATATATTATAGTAGTTTTCTTTTTTTGTTGTTGGTTTGTTTTTTTTTTGTCTTTTTGAGACAGGGTTTCCCGGTAGCCCCAGATGGCCTGTGTAGACCAGGCTGGCCTTGAACTCACAAAGATCTGCCTGCCTTTGCCTCCCAAGTGCTGGGATTTTAGGTGTGTGCCTTCACACCCAGCTCACTATAGTAGTTTTCTACTTGTGGACTGAACATTTAAGTCTTAAGTGCAAATCAATCCTCAACTGATCTTTTGTATATGTTAAATAAGCATGGCATTTTATTTTTATTTAATTAAAAATATTTTTATGTGTATGAATGTTTTGTGGGCATGTATGTAATGTACCATGCATGCATTGCCTGTGGAGGCCAGAAGAGGGTGTCAGAGTCCCTAGAACCGGAGTCATGGCAAGTTGTTAGCCACCCTGTGGGTGCTGGGAACCGAACCCAGGTCCTCTGCAAGAACACTCAGTGCTCTTAACCACTGAACCATCTCTCCAGTCCTGCAAAGCCTTGTTTCAAAAAAAGAAAGCAAGGGACTAGAAAAATGGCTCAGTGTTTAAGAGCACTGGCTGCTCTTGCAGAGGACCCAGGTTCGATTCCCAGCACCCATCTGGCAGCTAACAACCCTTTGTAACCCCAGTTCCAGGGGCTCCAATGTCCTCTTAAGACCTCTGCAGGCATTGCATGACACGGGTGCACTACATGCAGGCAATACATTCATATACATAAAATAAAAATAATAAATAAAATTAAGAAAGAGAACGGGGCTGGAGAGATGGTTCATCGGTTAAGAACACTGGCTGTTCTTGCAGAAGACCTGAGTTTGAATCCCAGCACCCACATGGCAGCTAACAACTGTCCATAACTCCAGTTCCAGGGGATCAGACAGCCTCTTCTGTTCTCCGTGGGCATTGCATGACACGGGTGCACTTACCCTACATGCAGGCAATAGACACATACACAAAAAATAAAAATAATAAATAAGGGGCTGGAGACATGGCTCAGCAATTGAGAGCACTGACTGCTCTTGCAGAGGATCCGGGTTCAATTCCCAGCACCCACATGGTGGCTGTGGACCGTCCTTAACTCCAGTTCCAGGGAAATCCGAAGCCCTCTTCTGACCTCTGTGGCATTGCATGACATGGGTGCACTCACTTACATGTAAGCAATATACTCACACATAAAATAAAAATAAATAAAATACTAAAAAAATAAAATTCATAAAAAAGAAGAAATAGTGCTTTGCTATGCTTGTTTCCTGAGGGAAGAAACCATGCCCTATTTTTGTATGAAACTGGCCCAGAACTTAGTATGTAGCCCAGGCTTTCCTCTAATTTGGGGTAATCTTTCTACCTTAGGCTTCAGATTACTGGAATTACAGGTGTATTTCACCATGCCTGTCAAGTGTGGGATTTTATAAAAATCTAATCTGGAAAGTCTAAGTGAGGAGTTTGAAGAGCTACATTTTAAAATCTGGTAGAGATGACATGTATTTTCCTTCATTTGTTAACCTGAAACATTTTGGGAGGGCGACAGCAGGTTGTAGGTGACTGTATTGGAGAGTCTCTTAGGTCTGGCGGATTGGGTGTCCCTGCTACTCATCAGATATCAGAGAAACACCTGAACTTTGCTGTGAGTAGAAAGGACATTCTTTCATTCATCTATATAGCTATTTGATTTAATTTTTGTGGTGCCAGGGTTTGACCCTTACACATGCTAGGCAAGTGCTCTATGCAACATATCCAGCCCTCCTTTTACTTTTTAAAAGTTTTTTTTTTTTTTTTTTTTTTTTTTTTTTTTTTCCTAATTTGTGTGTGTGTGTGTGTGTGTGTATAGGACTTGGGGCAACTTCATGGAGTTGGTCTTTTTCTCACTTCTACATGGGTTCCAGGGATCAAACTCATGTTGCCAGGGTTGTGTGGCAAGTATTTTTACTCAGTGAGCCATCTTGCCAGTTCTTTTTGTAGTTTTTGAGAGATAGTCTCATAAGTTGCTCAGGCTGGCCTGGAACTTGCTCTATAGCCCAAACTGGTCTTAAACCTGTGACCCTCCTTCCTCAACCTTTGAAGTAGCTGAGATTTATGAAATTCAGATGTAATTCTGTCAGTATGTAACATAACTGCTAATATTTTATTTTTTGAGGGTTTCTGATAATGCTACATTCTGAACATACTTCAAAAGGTACATGTCTTAGTTTGTTCTTCATTGCTGTGACAAAACACTCTGACCAGTACCAACTTGGGGAGGAAAGGGTTTATTTGTCTTACATCTCCCAGGTCGCATGCAGTTCATCAGGGAGCCCAAGGTAGGAACTCAGGGCAGGAACCTGGAGGCAGGAGCTGAAGCACAGGCCATGGAGGAATGCTGCTTACTGGCTTGTTCCCCTGGCCCCTGCTCAGCCTGCTTTCTTATGCAACACAGGCTCACCTGCCCAGGGGTGGCACCACCCACAGTGGGCTGGGCCCTCCCACATCACTCATCAAGAAGATGCCCCTCAGACATGGCCACAGGGCAGTCCAATAGAGGCAATTCCCCGGTTGAGGCTCCCTCAACCCAGGTGTGTCAAGTTGACACTAAAGCTATCCAGCACAGTACAAAATAAATTTTTTCCAGAATATTTCAAAGGATGGTGGCAGTCTATCGTCTGCAAAGCACCTTATACCGTTTTTGGACAGGAAAATCACCTATCTTGCTTTGTTATCTGTTGCTTCATTTAGTCAACAGGTGATTGAGCTAGGTAGGTGGGCTAGTATATGTTGTGATTGTCACTCTAATATTCGTTCCACCCTTCCTCTAGAGTCAGACCCTGTGGATCAACAGAATCCAGGTCTTGGAGAAGACTGTATACCAACCAACAATTGGATCAAGGGCCAGTGGGATGGCTCAGTGGATTAAGGCACTGCTGCCTTACAACCTAAATGTGATCCCTGGGACCCATATGATGAAAGGAGAGAACCAATTTCTGCAACATTGTCCTGTGACCTCCACATGACACAGACACAAAATAAATAAATTTAATTAAAAAAAAAGAATTGGTCCATTGTAGCTGAATGAGATACAAAGTTCATACCTTTCAGGAACACAAATTTAATATGGAACTACCAGTATATATCCTATAAGTTCTTTCTGATCAGGCAACTGAGCCTCAGTTGCACCCTGGAACTAGAGGCAGGAAGATCAGGTGTTCAAGGGTATCCTTGGCTACATAACAAGTTTGAGGCTAGCGTGGAGTCATGCTTTTGATGTAATATCTAAGAAATATTTGTCCAACTCAAGATCACAAAAACTTTCTCATGTTTTCTTCTAGAAGTTTAATATTGGTCATTTTGAAACAGTCTCCCTGTAGCACTAGCTGACCTAGAACTATGTAGACCAGGCTGTCCTCAGTGTTGCAGAGATCCAGCAGCCTCTGCCTCCTAAGTCTGCGTGCTACCTCGCCTAGCTTAGAAGTTTAATAGTCTTATATTTGGGTTTATGATCTATTTTTTTATGTTTTGTTTTTAATTTTTACTTATCTATCACCCATTTTTAGTGAATTTGGGCGGGGGCGGGTATACTTACTTTCTTTGTACTTGAATACACAAGTCTTCCAGAACTGTTTATTTTTTAATAATTTTGTGTGTATGTGTGTGTGTGTGCATGTGCACAGGCGTGCAGAGGTGTAGGATTACAAGGAGGGATGTTAAAAGTGGTTGTGAGCTGCTTGACATGGTTTCTGGGAATTGAACTTGGGTCCTCTGGAAGAGCAACAAGTGATCTTAGCCACTGAGCCATCTCTCCAGCCCTATTTTGTGATAGGATCTCACTATGTAGTCCTCACTATGTAGACCAGGCTGGCCTCAAAGTCACAGAGATTGATTTACCTCTGCCTCCTGAATGTTGGGATCAAAGGTGTGTGCCACCATGCCTGGATTGAAAAGTTGTCCTTTCTTTATTGATTTGACTTGGTACCCTTGTTGAAAATCAGTTGACTGTATAATTTATGCATGAACTATTTATTTGCTTGTGTGGTGCTATGTGTGTGTCTATGGTGCCTGTATGCTGTGTACTTGTTAGTTTGGATGTGTGCACTTGTATGGCATGTATATGAAGGCCTGAGGTTGATTTGGGGGTGTCTTTACTTTGATTGCTACTCACTTTATTTCATTTTTAAATTGTGTGTATATATCTGCGTGTGGGTATGTGCATGTAAGTGTGGGTGCCCTGGAACCCAGAGGCATCAGATCCCTCTGGAGCTGGAGCTCTGAGCAGCCTGGACAGGCTTTTAACCACTGAGCCATCTCTTCAGGACCCCTCCCCCTTTATTTTTTTGAGACAATCTATGATGGTTAGTTTTCTGTAGCCTTGACACAAACTAGAGTCACCTGGGAAGAGGGAATCTCCATTGAGGAATTTTCTCCATCAGACTGGCCCGAGGGGCATGTCTGGAGCATTTATTTTCTTTTGCTAATTGATGTAGGAGGGCCCAACCTATTATGAGCAGTGCCATCCCTGGGCAGGTAGGCCTGGGCTGTATAGAAAAAGTAGCTGAATCTGTTTAGTTACTGCTTTATAACAAAAAAACCAGACAATATAGACAACAGAAGAGTTTAGGTTGTAAAGAGTATCTTTGAAAATCCATTTGCTACAGAGATCTTTATTACAGGATGATTTGTAAGTAACAAATTGAAAGCTCATGGCTGATGGCAGGCACATAGATGGCAACAATAAAGATTTATTGAACATAAAAATAAAAGTAGCTGAGGGGTCTGGAGAGATGGCTCAGCAATTAAGAACACTGGTTGTTCTTGCAGAAGACCTGGGTTCGAATCCCAGCACCCATGTGGCAGCTAACAGCTGTCCCTAACTCCAGTACCAGGGGATCCGACAGTGTCTTCTGTCCTTCTCGGGCATTGCACGACATGGGTGCACTTACCTACATGCAGGCAATACATACATACACATTAAAAAAAAAAAAAAAAAAAAGCTGAGCAAGCCAGGGGAAGCATGCTGGTAAGCAACATTCTTCCATAGTCTGTTTCAGTTCCTGCCTTCAACATCCAGCCTTGAGTTCCTGCCTTAGCTTCTCTAAATGATGGACTGTAATCTGTAAGCCAAATAAACCCTTTCCTCCCCAAGTTGATTTGCTGTGGTGTTTATCACTGCAGGAGAAGCCGAACTACAGCAGGGTCTTTTCACTGAACCTGAAGTTTATTGATTTGGCTATGCTGGCTAGTCAGTGAGCTTAAAGGATCCACCTGTCTCTGCTCCTCATCCAGCACTTTGTACTGATGCTCAATGTCTAACAAAACAGCTATGTTCATCTTTTTTTTTTTAATTTAAAAAAATATTGGGGGCATGGTCTTGTGTCACTGAGGCTGACCTCAGTTACTATGTAGTTGAGAATGACTTTGAACTTTTGCTCCTTTTGCCTCCACCTCACAGATGCTGGGGTTACAGGCATGTGCCACTATGCCCAGCCTTTATGTAGTGCTGGCGGGGGGGGGGTGATTGTAACCAGGGTGAACTATATCTCCAGCTATTCTCTGACTAATAACTCACACTTCTCTTGTCTTGAAGAAATAACAATGACAATAAGCAGGCTTTTATATATATATATATATATATATATATATATATTTTTTTTTTTTTTTTTTTTTTTTTTTGAG